GGTACAACCCACTCGGTGAGACCTTGATGGTTGATGATAAGACTTATCTCTAGTCTTGGCTGAATTTCCTTCTGCTGCTAATGATGCAGCTCCTCCTTTCTCTTTAGATGCAGTGAATCCTGCTGCTCTCGATGAAGGGCATTCATTTCACCAGCTCCTCAATGTAGGGTGGTCTTGTACAGCTGCGCCGCCTACTCTGCCAGGACGTAGACCCGCGCCGATTGGAGATCTTCTTCTACCGGTGGGGTTCTCGCGTGGTTGTGACGGGATCAGCGTCACCAATTCCACCGAGACGTCGTGCGAATTTAGCCGGATCAGGATCCAAATTTCACCGACCGCAGTTCTCGATTACACGGGTTGGGAATCGCGCTCGCTCCACCCTCGCCGCTTTACTGCCCGTAGGGATTACCGCTCACCCGCGTGTATAGTGTACAGTCTAAAGACTCGGTTTGGTTGCGTACCTACCTGCCGTGTGGCCTTATCTCAGCGCAACAATATAAATTTTGTTCGGGAGAGGGTTGCCACTACACAGAGTCGATACTCACGCAGGACTTTCCTGGCGTCCGTCGTATACGGGGTGAAGTAATCACGCTCCCGCTGGTCTACGACTTACCGGTCACGGGGTGAGTGCGCACGCAAATGCCCGTCCGGTGCCCGCTGCTTCAGGTCTTCGTCTAGCGTGAACACAGTTGTTAGACTTGTATTCCGCCGAGCAGTCTCCAGCCCACTCCCGGGGGTGCCTGATCAGCGCAACAGGGTAGCTAATCCTGCAGCCACTGGCCGTACTATCTTGTCTCCTCTGCCGCTGTGGTGTCGGCGGTCTTCAGTCGTCGCTGTTCCGCTGATCTCGCGATGTCCTTGTGAAGTCGATGCCTCCAGAATAGACGCGTCCGTCTATTTCGTAGGTTCTTCACACACCAGTCAGCATGCCATCCACGTATAAATGTGCCGTGTTGAGGTGCCCTGTACCCAAGGGTTGTCTGCAGTCGGTTAAGCCTTTGTGCTGTTCCAGACAGAAGTCTGTGTGATGTGCAGACCGAAGTCTGTGTAGACCGAAGTCTGTTGAGACAGTGACCGAAGTCGATGTTGAAGTGCCACTTTAGGGACTTGTACTTTCTTTCTTCGTCAGCTAACTTGCAGAGGAGAGATGTTGAGGGATAGTTGGGGAGTGAGCCTGGTGGGGCTCCCAACACCTCGTGATCTCGCTACAAAAACAATCCTCAACCATCAATTCATTGGTGAGCTCCTCGCGAGAACTCGTCACTACATGTTACGTTCTGTGTACCAAACGTCACTTATCACACCGAATCTACGTATCATTGCATACAGCAATCATACAGCTGCATCTATTCTACTACACACATCCTACAGCAGTAATGCGCTGTATTTCAAAAGCCTGAGCATGTACCTTCTGGGGCATAAAATATAATAAACGGACTCTTACCGGGACCAAGCTTGCCGGGACTGGAAATTTTTTTGTTGTGTGTTGGTGTGGACCACTTTTGTTGTTGCTGTCTTCAAAACCTCAAATTAAAAGAAAGAGCTCGCAAGCAAATCAACAACAAAAAACAGAATATGTACACTCCGAGTATAGGTAGGCTGCCCCCCCCCCCCCCACTCTACACGTGAGACAGCGATGAAAGAAGCTGGATGCCACAGCACCGGCCGGATAAGCACACACCCTACTGTATTTCAGTCTTGGTACCCCTATACTGCCCGCGGCGTGGTGTTCCGTAGTCCGTGCCGCCGGGTCCTCGCCGATCAGGCCGAGTTGGCAAACAATCTACAACAGCAGTCCTCTTGATACCACCTCTCTCTATTATTTGTCACTACATACTCTACAAACATCAGTCTTCCAGCAACAACTCACGTCATTTCGACGATCTCTTATTGACCAACTGGAGACACACGGCAGCAACAGGGCTTCGAAATACACACGTTGTTTCGAGATTTTTTTTTCATTTTGGGCAGGCTGAGGGGGTGGGGGGGGGTAGTGTGGGTTCAGGAAAACAAAATCGTTTATTACCCTTGGGCTGAGCATTGCGTGAGCCAGCCAAGGTGTGGAGATCACAACCATAACACATGCGTTGGTTTCCTCCGCATGAACCATATTTGGGGTAGGATCGGTCACGTGATCAACAAGTTACCACCAGGGCATACGGAGTGTAATCTTTCGACTACAAACAAGGAACGTGTTAGCTTGTGTGAGCTGTGCGGATGGGGCATAGACTACGGAGGGGACGACAGAGGATACGACATTTTACTCGCCTGGACAATGGCGACATCTTGCCCCCACGGCGGGCCTCATCCAAGTTTTCGCTTATTTTGCCATCTGGTACGCCATCCGGGCCGCCATTTCGTCATGTTTCGCCATCAGACGGCTAACAGCCCTCCTTCGGCCGTGCGAACCCTCCTCTTTCTGGCCGTGCATATCGTCCACCTGCGATGGTTTCGAATAAACTTGTCGTTGTTCTTTGCGATAGGCACGACGATGACGGAACTCTGCATATTTATCCGTTTTTCGAAGGAGTGCAGATCTCCTGACAAACCTACCACTTCCGACTTTGTGGCTGAAATGATTACGTTCAACAAGTTACGAGGAGTAGTCTGGATGTAGGAGCGAAAGGCCCGGAGGCATTTCAGCTTCTTCTGCTGCACCTGTCGGAGCAATTTTGATGTCGAAGATTGCAGTATGAGCAGCTTTAGTTGCAGCACTTGCAACATCAACGGTATTTTGGTGAGCATGAGCAACAGTGAAACAGAGCAGTAGAACAGTACCATCGACCGGCACATGGGCATCATGCTCTACCGATTGTTTCGTTTGGGATACTGCAGTACCACGGCTACGTAGAAGTACCAGACAACGGTTTCTGAACCCACAACGCGACCATCTCGCAACAAAGTGCCAAGATGATCATCTGAAGCATCGTCTACAAGAAACGGAACCCTAACAACCCTAACCCTAACCCCAAACCCACCCGATAGGTGCTGGTGGCGCTGGGTGGCTCAGTTCTAGATTGGTGTGCCAGTTTTGGCGCTAGGTTGGTGTTGACGGGGAAAAACTCTAGGTCGATGCTGCTTGGATAGGTGTTACATGTAAGATATGCGTTGATGGGATTATTCCCCCGCTGCCGTCTCTCTTTTTCGGCACATCTCCCATACATCGGGGTCCGACAAGGTTATGTTTATACTCTCTACAAGCTGGGCCAGCCAAGACGCCTACAAAATGGTTGAAAACGATTTACACCACGAGTTTTACGAGTTAGAATCTGAAATTTTGACACGTGGTCGGTGTTAGTATAACGAAGACCTTGACTGGCCATACTTTTTTTGGACTAAAAAAAAAAAAAAAAGTACGGCCAGTCAAG